TAGCAAAAACAGGCAGCTAAATAGTACAACAATATACGCCTTTATAGGCGCACTACGATCGAAGTAACTACTTTTAGCTGCCACGGTGACCGATCATGTTAGAAACCAGTGCCGTAAATGAAAATGGGGAGTAACTACTAGCAATGTGGCATAAAGACCAGAAGCGCAAAAACTCAGAACACATAAACGAGATCACCGCTAAACGATCGTGACGTTGCTGACGTTGCACACGCTTGTTGTTGCCACTGTTGCATTTTTTAACTGCAGCTACGCTACTGTGAGGATATCTGTATGTATATGTACTATGATGCATGTGTGTTTGTTACTCTGTGATTGTGCTTAACGCGATTGCGCGCTGCTGCTGGAACGGTGTGTGCGCCGGCTGACGAGCCAAAAAATTACCGGTAGCAATAAATCAAACTATCAATTGAATTCCGGGCCGATCATCACTTGTGAGCAGTGCGACAGACTTTGCAATGGCAATGCGAATGTGAATGCGATGACTGGTNCTTAACTCGATTGCGCGCTGCTGCTGGAACGGTGTGTGCGCCGGCTGACGAGCCAAAAAATTACCGGTAGCAATAAATCAAACTATCAATTGAATTCCGGGCCGATCATCACTTGTGAGCAGTGCGACAGACTTTGCAATGGCAATGCGAATGTGAATGCGATGACTGGTGGCTCTGTTGGCGTTTGGTTAGTAGCTGGTGGATGCGTGTATGCTTGTCAGTTGGCGAAACGATTACAGCAACCGTAGCTGATCAGCGATGCTGCGGCGGCAGCTTTTTTTTAGCGCTTTCAATTACGAATGCGCGGCGTTGTTGCCGTTTAAGCCGATTTACCGATTCACTGAAATGAGCATTCCACTANAAAATTACCGGTAGCAATAAATCAAACTATCAATTGAATTCCGGGCCGATCATCACTTGTGAGCAGTGCGACAGACTTTGCAATGGCAATGCGAATGTGAATGCGATGACTGGTGGCTCTGTTGGCGTTTGGTTAGTAGCTGGTGGATGCGTGTATGCTTGTCAGTTGGCGAAACGATTACAGCAACCGTAGCTGATCAGCGATGCTGCGGCGGCAGCTTTTTTTTAGCGCTTTCAATTACGAATGCGCGGCGTTGTTGCCGTTTAAGCCGATTTACCGATTCACTGAAATGAGCATTCCACTAGCGCGCATTGAGCGGTCGAGTGAGTGTGCGCGCGAACGCGGACGCGGGCTAACTACTCATTTTTCACAGGCAGGCGTGCGCGCTTGCGCATAAACGCGGATAAATCATCCGCCAACCGCATGAACTTGGCATTCATGCCATATGCACTCGCTTGCTCGTCGATGAGGCGCTCCATGTAAGATGCGGCCGCTAAGCAACGCGGAACCAGGCAATCACTTCGATTGGTGGGTCGGTGGGTCGGTCGGTCGGTCTGCCGGTTGTTAAGCAGGGTTGCGCAGCGCTTCGCTGTGACGGCTGCTAACGCACTTACGTACGTACGCATGCGGCATAAATCAAGGAATACTTGTGAACAACAATTGACCAAACACGTTGCAGCAACAAATTGGCTAGGCAAGCACGAAAAAAGGAAAGATAATAAAAACAAATAAATAAAATTGCAATGCCAGCGCGTAATAATGGCGCGCGAACGCCTACTTAACGTTAACTCACACACATACATATGTACATACAGGCATACAAATGCATTGTTGAATCTGCGCGCCTGCGCTGATTGTGCCAAGTGTGAAATATGCATTGCATTGCCACACATTAGAGTCGACGCGCCGTGGTAAGATTACATGTGTATGCGTATGTATTCTTGTATATATGTTTGTCTTCGCACCGCGCATAAGCCACTACAGCGCTGTCCAATTGACCAGTGAGTAGCTGATTAAAATTAGAGTGGCGAGTTTTCATTTGGCAAATAAATCATGTGACCTGTTGCCATAAATAAAATTGCCGGTTTCATTGAGCGTTCTTCTTAACCAGGGCAAAATGCATATTTGCAGTGTAGTGAATTTTTCAGTGGAAAAATACTTGCAGGACAATCTTCGTTTAAGAGTTTTTTTAGTCTAGGTTAGGGAGGCGCCTACGAATGACTAAAACTTTCACTCGGAGTCAGACTTATCCATTCTGAATGCCTTCTATGGGGTCCGGAGAAGACACATCCTTCTAACAGAAGTTATTCCATATTTTCAGTATAGTGGCTGTTAAGTCATGTGCCATCTCGAATGATGCTGTGGAGCTTCGATACTTTCATTCCCACTATCACCCCCAAACTATTGAAAAACCGAGATCCCCATTGCTTGAGGCGCCACGTCTGGAGAGTCGAGTCAATAGAACTCTTATTGAGTCCTTGAAATAAGGGTCTTGAAGTCTCGAAGTCGCTGTGGTGTAGTCTTCAACCCCACTTAGCAGACAAGACATCGGTAGCAGTATAGAGTTAGCCGCTTTGCTAATTTGCAAACAGAGCTGCGGACATGACTCAGTGAAGCCAGTGATGCACGACATTTTCGAACAAATTTCGGCTTTACTACCTTGGAACCTAACGTTTTCAACGCTGTCTGGCAGTCAACATATTTAGTAACGATCCTTGACAGTTACCTGCTATTTCGTATGAGACAAGCCGCCTTCTCTATAGCAAAGATCACCGCATGAGAGACAATGCAGTTATCAGGCAGGCAAAATGATTGCCCTATCTGCAGTTCCTTGGTGTATAGACCCGAGATGACTCTTTCATCGATCCTTTAGCCATCGGTGTATATGGAAATATCATCAATAACCGCCAGTAAACCGCCTTCCCAGTCTTCTCTAGTTGGAAAGTGTGTGGTAATCTGAAGACAAAATCCCAGAACGACGTAGCTAGGCCGGTCTTGGTTCCATTACGCCATCCACTATTAATAACTTTCAATACCGCTGCATGCCCGGCCTGCTTTGGTCATGCGGAAGGTCGTGTTCTTTTTGGTCTTCTTCGTCAAACGAGTCAGCCTTTTCCATTTGCATTATTACAAAAACCGGCGTCTGCCTTAAATCTATTTCAGTGCCCCTCAGTGTATCAAGTCTTTACATCATATCCGTCTCTCTCTTTTTTCTCCTTTTCTCCTCGCTATACTTTCGGAATTTAGCCTTAGAATCACGAACGTGGGCGCTGGTAAAATCTGATCTGATATCACCCCCATATTTCTGGAGAATATGAAGCGGTTGAATAACGGCATGTTCCCTATATAAAATCTGGATGTTTCAGGTGCTTATCCGTAATCCTATTTCCTGATTGGGAAGGCATTCTTGTTTCGCTGGTAGCGATTTGGCGGGCCCTAAGCCGTGTCTTATTAGTCAGAATAGTCCCTCGGATCCTCTTTACATCTTTATTCTCAGATTTTTAAGTAGTGAAATTGCTTTCCTGGGGGACAATGTTATTGAGAACACTCAAATTTCTCTAAACAGATTATTATGAGGTCCTCTTAGGCATAGTTTATTAACAAATTCCATAGCCAAACTATGAAAAAATAAAAACCTTTCTCCGAAGCTTATTCAAACCAAAATCAAAACTAATTTTTTGCGAATAAGGCTACCATCTCCATCATAGCACATTCATCTTCCATAACCGAATCGAAACGATTTGACGACTGAGACGCGTCAAGTCGAAGAATTTCCAACGACTGCATTGCACAGGTCATTCATGCGACAAATGCGGCAATCAAGCCAGCCAACAATGCAACAGTGCATGGCGGCAGCAAGCACACAGTTATCAGCAGCCGCCAGCCGCCAGCGAGAAGGCATACTTTTTGCTATTGGATTGGCAAAAAAGTGTTAAAATGTGAGCAGTTCTTGCGATCAGATAAAATGTCAAATTGTACATAAAAGCTTCTACATCGCAGGAATTACTAAATTACTCGCAACTGAACAGCAAACACAACGAACGTTGAACGATGAACGAGCTACACGGCCAATATGGGTTGCCCTAGCTGACTGCCAGCCTCCACTGAATGATTGCCGGCTTAGTTGGTTGGACAATGCCAATGAGTTGATCGAACGAAGTCCGTAGGTATTTGGAACTTGTCAAGAATTCTTAAAATTCCAAGCAAGTGATGAAATTAGCACCGAAAACATGACGACTACGCCGCCGCGGCTGGTGGTCAGGTTGTGAACGGTTGTGGACTGTTGTGACGGCGGTGATGATAACATTGATGATCTGCAGAAAATGTGCCGTTCACAGTTGGAGCGGAGCTACAAAAAAAAAAACAGTAGCCAAGTGCTAGCTGTGGCGGCTGCAACAGTGTTATCGGCTGCCACCCGGGACTCGTGCGCACATTAGCAGTTGACCGAGATGATTATGATGACGACGATGTGCTGTGATGATGGAGACGAGCTGCTGATGGCCAGCACTCTATTATGCCCATATATGACACGCTGGCGGCTCGTCAAGCCATGATCACGTTTCGATTATTTTGTGCGATGCGTCCGATTTTTGTTTTTGCTGACGTTGTTTTTATCGGCCGTGTATTGCTTGTTTTAGTCAAAGCCTCTACGAAGTATACGGCTGAGCGCTACCTACCTGCCGCCTGCCGCCTGCCGTTTTTAAGCCGCTTGCATCGCCTGCTGTCTGTCTTCACTTTGCCGTCGCTCTACAACGCCACCACTTTTTCGACTTGCTGCTTGCCTCTTTTGTTTTGCTGCTGTGTTGCAACAACTTCAAAAGCCTTGTGTTGACACTGCAACGGAACAAATTTGTTGGAGCTGGTGTTGGCGCGCAATGTGCGGAATTTTTGTGTGATGCCTCGTTTAAATTCCAAACGAAAGCAAATTAAACTTTTGTTTCGAGTTACAAAAAACAAAACAAAAACGCGTCATTTGCGGTGGTCTACACACTTTAGCAAATTGCATGCGCAGTGACACATTTTTGTTATTCTTCTTCGTCTTTCTAATCACAGCTGCAATTTTATTAATTTTTTTTACTTCACACAAAAGCTTTCTAATTTTCTACATTATTTTCGCTCTTTTTTTACAGTTGGCCTCCCTACAGCTCCGCCCGCGGCCATGCTCGCCGGGCATCTCAAACGCTTCGGGCTTAAGTGGCATCTTCGCAAACGCTCATCCTGCTCCTCATTCGACGCTCAATGCTCTCATGTCTCAGCACCGCTTTTGGAACTCTCTCGGTTCGGTTTGCGGGGCTATGATTTGGCTCAACATATGCTGACGCAACAGGGTGCGGTCTCCAAGCTACTAGGTAAGTGAAGTTTGAGGAAAATATTGCGTTAGCTTAAAAAAGGACTTGGAATGTAAACAAAGGTAATATAAGGGAAGTTGGCTCAGAGGCTTAATTCGCGAAATAGGCTTTGACGTTGAGTCCTACTGAAATGTAGTAAACACATCAAAGCACCCCTCCTCCAAGAGTAGACTGTACTCGAGCTTAAGCTTACGAGCAACCATACAGAGGCTACTTTCGTGTTCAATAGTTGTATAGACAAGGTGGTGTTACCGGAGCCACTGATTCCACGGCGAATTGGTACCTTTTGTCAAAATAATGTGTTTGTTGTAATCTTGTTTTGTACTGATTGTCAATGTGGGTATAATTTGTTATCGTAATTTTTGTTTTTGTTCTGCCAACATCACCTCGTATAATTTCGCCTTGCTGGAAGTGATAAAAAATTATTATTTTTTTCATAACTCTGATTCACAAAGTATACACGTTCGGCCCTTGTACAATGTGCATAACTCAGTCACCGTTTGGCCTCCATATTTATGGATGGTCAATCAGCTCTCAAAGCACTGGATAAGTACATATTCTCATCAAAAACTCGTCTGTAATGCAATGAAATCAAAAAGGACCTTAACAACTGGGCAAAATCGTCCATTGCTAGACATTGAGACAATTTAGAGGGACACCATCAAGCAATGAAGTTTCTTTGCTTCAGTAAAAAAAAAAGCTCAATCTACGCTCATTATATGGAGCACTAAGAGGCTACTATGCTTGGCCTTTATAGAACCGAAATTTGCAGATTCTCTGGTGGAGAGGAGGAACCAATCTCAGCGATGGCGGTGCACACAGGAGACTTCGCAAAATGAATATCTCTTTACGAAGTCCATTTATAGCCTCTATTATAGCTGAGACCTCAGCCTGGAAGACGCTACAGTAGTCTGGTAGCCGAAATGAATGGCTCCGTTCATCTTCGAACCATCTTTGAAAATTACTATACTACCGGGTGGAGTGCAGTAGTTTTCTACCAATTCCTCCCAGGTTGGGATTTTCACGGGAAGTTTCTATCCGCAGCCAAAGTTTCAACACAATGATATGTATAACCCGGATTTTTCCAGAATACAGAAGTGACCCTGCAATCCCAATTCCCAACCAAACCAAAGTGCAACAAGATATGCCATTTGCTGACTCACTAGATCTAGCGGTAGAAGAAAAAAACAAAACATTTAAATCATCATTTGGCGCTGTCCGGATTGCTTCTTTGATGCAGATCATACTAGTCCTCTGTACTTTGCTAAGTAGATTAATATTAGAGACCTTGGCAGGCCACCATACTATAATTCCATATATGTACGAGAATTGATCTAACCACCGCAGTATAAAACCAGCGGCATATACTCGGGCTCAAACCCTATTTCTTACCAATGATCCTCTTGCGCAAATACAGGGCCACAGATACCTTATCATAACGCTGGCCTATGTTCTCCCTCCAGCTTTCTGTCGAGAATGACTTTCGCTTTATTCGTAAAGCATAGGTTAGGTTAGGTTAGAGTGGCCGCACGTCGGCTGGAAAAGCCGGTTATGATAACACTGGCCACAAGACAGTTGTTTCTTTGACTCCCTTAGTAATTGTACCACCGAGAGCGTTTTATATAGCACAAAAATTCGAGGACGTTCGCCGAGTTCAATTCGGCTAAACAAGCTAGAAAGTACTTGTTGCGCATATTGACTAGGGCGGAACAATGTCAGAGATAGTGTTTGATGATCTCCACCTCCTCCTCGCCCCTGCAACCGTGTGTGCCCATCAGGCAATATCTGGTGATTACCCCGACTACTAATCTGAGAGAGGAGCGGTCCAGTCGAGTAAGAGCCAAGGATGGCCTTACATCAATCTTTGACCAAATTTGCCTGCTGGGTGTATGGCAGGTGGTTTCCACAGTCCACCTGGTATTAACCTCCCCGATGAGTTCAGCCTTTAGTCTGTGTTTGCAGGGGGTTAGAGGTATGCCCGCACCCTGAGCAGAATTGACTTAAGAAATGTCCATCTCCCTCCTTGCAAGCTTGTCGGCTAGGCAGTTTTCCGAAATTCTCCCATGTCTAGGGACCTATACAACAGTAAAGGACCATTTTTATCGCAGCAGGTTGAGAGTTTTCCTGCATTCTACAGCCACTTTGGACGTTGTTCCGTTAGATTTGAGAGATTTGATAGCAGCCGGGCTGTCAGAATAGATAGCGTCCTGGAGGGACGGAGGTTATGAGCCACCGCGCCGCCTCCATTATGACGTTTAGCTCTGCTTGAAAGACGCTGCAATGGTTCTGTAAGCAAAAACTGAGGTTTAGCGCGAGCTAGTCAGAGTAAATCGCGCTACCCACTCTTTTGTTAAGCTTGGAACCATCTGTATACAAATATGAGTCAGTAGCGGCGTCTTGTATCTTCTCGTAACGAGAACAAGTTCTACTTTCTCCGAATTGGACCATGATCAACACCAATCTGAATGTTTGGATGGTTTTGAGAAAGCATCATCACAATCACATCTGTTCTTAAGTATGTATCTCTTTTGAGTATTGTACGTCCGACTAACAGCCGTATTTAGGAAAACTAACTACAGACTTTGTGCAACCATACAAAAACCCGTGGAAAAATCAAGCACTGCCTATTGTTCGTGTCAATTACAAATGAATAGTATCAGTAGTAGATATCTGATTTTGTTAAATACTAAAACGACCGGCAGACAATAACGCATTCAAATGCATAGATATCTATACTAATTTTAATTGACTTCAGAGCATTGCACAATATACATATATGTATGTATGTGTGTGTGTATGTAGGCATGTACAAAAAAAAATGTGATTGCAAATTATACACAATCAGCCAGTGAATATTCCCTTACAGAAAGTTTCCAATTCCTTTTCGCAGCGTGAATACGCAGCAGCATACACGTATGTATAAGCCTACATATATTTCACATAATTTTAATCGCTTAATCTGATTTCTAATTGTTGACTTTAATTACCAGCTGCTACCTCACGCCACAAAACAGTTGCAATACTATGTAGCCGCAAGTTTGTACTATGCTTGTTTGCAATTTGAATTAATGAATGAATGTAACGAATGTGTGAGCGTTGAATGAGCGGCGATCGAGCGACTGAATGAGAATGCCCGTAGTCATGCACGTAATTATTTGCTATTTTTTCTGCTCTAGCCAGATGTTTTGCTGATTAAAACTCATAAGCAGATATGTATGTATGTATGTATGCACGTAGATATTATAGCCAGCAAACGAATGACCGTAGCTATTTATGCATACCGACTTTGTACTTGCATTTAGTGCGAAACAGAACTTCCGGCGGCGATTTGTCTGTCTGTGCACTTTCAACACATTTGTCGGTGTGCTTTGCTGTTGTTGTTGTACGCATTTGCATATTGCAATTACGACTATTGCGACTATTATAATGACAATGTTTACACTTTGGCTTTTTTTCGATACAACTTCACTAGCTTTGGAGTTGTTGTTGTTTTTTACGTAAGTATACTATAATTTGAAAGACAAATAATCGGCTGTCAGCAGCTTCCGATGAGTTATCATTTAACTAGATAGAGGAGCTAGCGGACAGACCTAAAGTCAGCGGATGAGCAGGTAAACAAAAAGCGCACAGCGGCTACACTTGTCGATACTACAGCACGCCCCGCTGCTTGTTGCCGCCTACCACGACTTGCCGCTGCTGTTGCTGGAGCTTGTGATCGCTCATTTAGAGCTGTTACAGTTTCTTTTTAGTAGTAGCTTCATCCTACTTTTGCTGTTTTTTCCCCCTCTTGTTTGTTAAAGCGCTCAAGCGGCGGAACTTTGTCCCATTGTTGCTTTGGCGGCAATGGCGTCGGCGGCAAAGCCAGCTTTAGCAAACAAATTGTTAATAACTATTCAAATATATCATTGAAATACATGAAATGTGTGACTAACTAAATTGGTAAGGAGCTCGTTGTTTGTGCAAATTATTTGAAAACAGTTGACAAACAATAATTTTTGAAAAAAAATTGCGTAAATCCAAAAATAAATATGTGAAAAAAGCGAGTGGCATATTGGTTGGTAATGGGATTTCTAGTGATGGCATTGCATAAACGCGTCTGCTGCAGCAACAGCAACAGTGGCGAAAAATAACAAAAACAAAAAAAAACATTAAAATAAAAATAACAATTAAATGTGGGTAAATTAGTATTCGTTTCATTATTGTTCTACTGTGCCAAAGTGATTTGCATTACAAAACAACAAATCGTGCTTCAAAAGCGCAGAAAGGTCACCGCTATGCTGCAGGCAATAAATTAATTGGCGAAGGTCAATAAATTCAAAAAAAAAAAAACATACCCTTTACAGAAGCACCGTGTGGCAATAACTGGCGGCAATGCCAATGTCAAAAGCGAAAGGAAATTAAAAATCTGTGGCATTTTTTATTTGCAATGACTTGCGCTGTAGAGCTAAAATGACTTTACACTTTGTCTGAGTTAAGCAGCTTTAGAATGCTTTTAGTTTAAAACAAAAACATTTTAATTCTTTAATTATAATTTGTACATATATCTAATTTAAATCTTTTATTTCTTTAAATATGCTTTTTAGATAATTGAAACCCCTCCGATTTTCTAATTAAATAAAAGAAAGTTGGCAACCCTACTTTAAACTTTGTCTGGGTTAAGCAACTTGAAATTGCTTTAAGTATAAAACATCGAAAAAAAAAAAAATTGCATTTGTTTAGTTTTAATTGGCAGGTAGTTAGCAACCCTACTTAAAAAATATATCTAGATTACATATTATCTTTCTTTCATTATAATCTTTAGATAGTTGGAAACCCTCCGCTTTTCTAAATAAATTAAAACAAAAATAAAAAAAAACGTAATCCTACTTTAAACTTTGTCGGGTTGTGGAACTTTAAATCTCTTTTGGTTTAGAATCTTTGAAAAACATTTTACTCGTTTAGTTATAATTTGTATAAAGTTGGCAACCTTTCTCAAAAATATATCAAGAATAAATCTTTTACTTTTTTGATAATAACCTGTACATAGTTGGAAAACCTCTGTTTTTCGAATTAAATTAAAATAAAAATTAGAAAAAGGGCAACCCTATTTTAAACTTTGTCTGAGTTAAGCATCTTCAAAATGGTTTCTCTTTAGAATCTTTAAAAACAAAATCATTTTATATTTATTGTGATTTGTTGATAGTTGGCAACCCTTTTTCCAAAATATATCTAGATTGAATGATTTATCCCTTCTTCTTTATTGGCGCTGTAACCGCCAGAAATGGATGCATCCACAAATCGGTCACTGTNACCCTTTTTCCAAAATATATCTAGATTGAATGATTTATCCCTTCTTCTTCATTGGCGCTGTAACCGCCAGAAATGGATGCATCCACAAATCGGTCACTGTAAAATCTTGAATTACCTTACTGAGTTTCCTACAACCGATACATCCCACCCACACGCACTTCCAAGACCAAGTTCATGACCCGTCTTACCTCAAGGGAGGAATGGTCATTAGATACAGACAGGGAAAGAGGATCAATCCTATTTTAAACGGATGGATCACAATTCGAAAAATAGTTGGCGGTGGGGTTTATTCTGAACAATTAGGTATATCGTTCAGACCTCGCCTCTCTGAATACTATAGTGTTTATCAGGCGGGACTGATGACTTTGTCAAAGGCCACATCAGTGGTACAGTGTGATATGATTTCTAGACATGATATCCACATTTTCACTGACAGCCAGGCGGCTATGAAATCCCTTGGAAAAATGTAGATGGCTGAGATAGCTGAGACATTCCGCACACACATTGTTTGGGTACCTGGATATTGAGACATTCAGGGAAATTGCAAAGCTGACGAACTCGCTCGTATTGGAACGACAGTGCCTGATATAGATATATGGGAAACTCTTGGCATCACTTTTCAAAACATGCCAGTGACATAGAAATTGCCAATGAAAGATTGCAAATGGAACCGGCCTGTCATATTTCCAAAACACTCTGACCAGCCATAGACACTCAACCTACTAAGTCGCTACTTAATCTAACGAGGTAAGACATTCGCATAGTAACTGGAGTTCTCACCGGATATTGACCGATTGGATTACATGCAGTTAGTCGGTGCGCACCCTGAAACGACTACTGCAAAAGCGTCAAGGATGAATATGAAGAATAAACCATACAAAGTCTTATCTGCCACAGCACGGCTCTATCAAAACGGAAAGCAAACGCTCTTGGCAGTTATATCTTCAAAGTTATCAATGACCTCAAAGCGGTGGATGTTGGAAGCCTATGCACTGCACTGGGGGGGTACGAGGATAAATGCAAATCTCATGCGGTATCACAAAGGACCCCGAATCTACATAAGTGTGTCCTCATAGGAGAGCCATCCAACCTAACCAAACCTAGTCCGGCAGTTTATATGGCTATTCAATTCCAAGCGCCGGACAAAATACAGCAGCTTCCACTCCTTCATTCATTTTAGATCCGTCCGTAAAGAAACTGTAGGCATTGTGATTGGATCGGTGTCCTTGGTTCCATCCATCTTGCTCTTTTGTGATGTATGGACCTTTTTTCAAACTGGTCTGAGAAACCATGTGGTTCTGATTTACCAGTTAACTTACGTAAATCATTGTGTACAAATTTGCGTAAATCCAAAAATAAATATATATATATACAGTTTACGTGAATACCTCTCCAGAGATGCAACTAATTTCAACTCAGCATGTCAGATGCCTATCACTGTGCCTTTAATTAGTAACATTTCAGTTCTGCAGCACTTGATGTGCCCTTAAGCAGCTTTTATGGCAACGCGATAGTGCCTACGATAATAATTTATTTCCCATTATAAAATATTTAAATATTTCTTATACATATGTGTTTACCACGCCTTTATACGCAAATTCACGCTGCTTACCCTTAATACTATCGATCTGCATTGTGTGATTATTCATGTTCATATCGATTCAATTTCATTAATTGCAGGTACATTGAGGCCACCTGGCCTAATCGGCGGATCAAAGCCGAAAGTAGCTACACCCGCTGTCGTTTCAAAAATCGAGCAATACAAACACGATAATCCGACAATATTTGCGTGGGAAATACGCGAAAGGCTGATATCGGAAGGTGAGTACACAAGCAAAAAAAAAAAATATGGAACATACACACCTTTACAAATATTTAAACACATGTTTACATACACGTTTACAAGACACAAATCTTCTTGGTGGCTGCTCACTGCACAGTCAATGACTGACTGAATAAATGCCTGCCTGCCTACTTGCTTGCCCGCCGCTGTACCCTCCAGAGTCTATTGACCGACTTGCTTTAGCTTGGCGTTGAACTGCCCGGTCGATGACGATGACGTTGATGGTTGTTTGCCTCATTAAGTGACGCCGTCAGCCCCCCAGAAGAAGAGTTGTGCGACCAAAATGATTGGCCAAACAAATTGCGAATGAATCGCGATTGCGAAGCAGTGCCACACAGACGCTGCCGCACCGGCGCACATGAGCGCTGCAACGCATAAGCTTTTGCTGAATTACGCACTCACAGGCGGCGGCCAAGGCGCGCAGTTGTCCATTCACCTTCTTACGCCTGTGCCATGCCGCGCCAACCGCTGGTGGTGGTCGACCATAGCTTCTGATGTATTTATGGACTGTGCGCCACCACCGCAAACAACCCAATAAATGCTTCCTTCACATTTCCCTTTTCACATTAAGTATGTACTTAGGACACACGCACACACAGAAAATGCACAAAATGTAATGTATTGTTGCACTCTGCAGATTTATCGATAGTCTAATTTATTAGCATCCGGACGCCATAGCGTCGTAATCAGGCGGCGCGGTTGCAATAGCGGCAGCGCGCTCAGAGCGTACTTGTAGGGTAATATTCTGAAATACGGCGACCTCAGCGGAGACACGCGTTCCCGCCACGCTAAGATTGATATGTAAATGAGGGAGCCAATATTCGCTGCTTACTTTTCGATTTCAGTTTTCTTTTTTTTTCCGTTGCGTAGTATCTGCTATTGATTCCTTCCACAGCTGTCACAGTCGCGGTCAACGTGCGACAACAGCAAAAACAACAAGCAGTTAAGCAGCAGCAACATCAATGACTCTACTGTAAAGATCATCGCAAGCAATTGCAAAGTTTTCTTCATTCATGCTTGCAGCCCCTACCTCTTTTAGTTGATTCTGCGCATGCGTATGCGTATATGCGCACAGTCTTCGTCGTACCTGACATTTAGTCAGTCACTGCATTCAAATTGGTTTTGATAGCGATCGCTCACATCAAATTGTTGTCTCATCGTCGTGGCCTCGATGTAGTTGCTCGGAAGCGCTACATTACTTCTGCTGCTGGTAGTAGTCGTATGTAAGTCTCCATCTTATCCTTCTCCTTGCTCGATGTTCTCCTTCTGTTTGTTTGTAATTAAACAAGCATTTGGACTCTGCGTTGAAGCGTGTAGTTGCATACACATCTCGAAATGTCAATTGCAATTAAACGTAACAACAACAGCTACTACTTTTCTTACTTCCTGTAATAAAATTTAAGTTTTGCCAGTATTTCAGCAACAGAAAGTTCAACTGCTAGATATTATTATGAGGCGCGCACTACATTGCCTTCTGGTCTTCACAATGCTTCTTCTATACCTTAAGTCCCCAAACGGCTCAGAAGAGCTTTTGAGGGTAGGTGACACCGCAGTGGACAAGAAGGGACAAAGACACAAAAGCGACAGAGGACAGCGGACCAAATGTGTAATTTATGCAGTTGACCCCTTAATCTGCGGTTCTCGGTTTCTCCACTGGGAGATTACTATATCCCAAGTCTTTATCCCACTCTTAAGGTCTTTACTTTCCGTAGTCCGGCTAGACCATAGAGCAGTTCTCTTAGGGCCAGTTTCTCAATTTCTGGTTAACACTAACTACAGTTGAAACATCGTTATATGTTATGGAGTCGATCATGGCGAAAACGATGTTTTACCTGCAGTTAGTGTTAACCAGACATTGAGAAACTGGACGTTAATGTTAGCAACTCCTTTTTGAGCTCTTCTTTTTTGATTGTGTTTGGTCCTGGTGCCAGAAAAGACTGGAGCCAACCCATACAAAAGACCCGCATACTGGTAGATGGAAAACATAGCTCAACTCACAGGCACGTGCCACCACCTGAGACGATCTTAAACCAGAGCTAGGCGCAGAAACAAGGCAACGGAAGGGGCACAATTGTACCAATAATCTAGAAAAGAACTCAAGGGAGCGATCGAGGCCAACACACAAAAAAAAAGTGGGAAGAACTACAAGACGACATAAACATAAATGCCTTGGGTCTTGGCTATAAAGTGGTAGTGAGAAAACTCGGGCGAGAGTACAATCATCAATACGAAGCGCTCAAAAAATTGGGCCACATAGTTAGCACACTACTCCCCACACATGAGGCAAGAACTGAAGAAATGGAGTCCACAATCGCTTCTCCGGAGACATCACAATTTACGGCAGAAGAGCTAAAGTCTTCCACTTACAAATTAAAGTACAAAAAAGCATCACGCCCAGACCAAATTCCAGCAGAAGTCTTAAAAATAATCGCCACAGAACGCCTGGCTCAAAAGCGGAATATTACCAGAAACTTGGAAAGGCCAGCAGTTCGTCCTATTTAGCAAAGGGAAAGGAAACCCTGATTCGCCATCAGCGTATCGGCCACTTGGTATGCTGGACACAGCTGGGAAAATTTTAGAAGGGCCGAGAATAGAACCGGCTATTGTCACCGGCAGCGGACTCTTCTCAAGACAGTACGATTTAAGACCCGGGAGATCAATAATTGCAGCAATAAAACACGTCATAACAACAGTAAAAACTACATACCAAGACAAAAAGCTAATCCTGCTGGCAACCTTAGATGTTCGCAACGCTTAAACAGTGCAAAATGGGAAAACGTGATATTTATATGCACTATTTACATAGAAGAAGTGTACAAGATACCCACGTACCTTAGACTCAGGGTCAGAAGCCATCCAGAAAGTCGAGAGTTGCTGTACTACCGATAGATTCCAATGTATAATGATCACGTGGGGTGCAGCACAAGGCTCCATTCTTTGCCCAACTTTTTAAATGTAAACTATGAATAATACCATACCTCGAGATTCATGATGACGCATATGCATATAGTGGGCTACGCAATTGCCACAGAAAAAGCACGGCGGAAATTGCATCAGATTATGATAAGAGCACAAGCGAGAAAACCGAGGTCCTCCTTTTAACAAAGCAGCCTATCCCATTAGAAGGGAGCATGAAGACAACCGCCGTTACCTTAAAAACGCAAAGAATAATAAATTACGTAGGAATAAGCCTTGACCCCAGGCTAATGAATCGGCTACAAATCCAGAACGTCGTAAAATAAAGCTTTCAATGTCTACAGCTTTGAATATTTTACCGTGCAGGGCGCAGATTTGGATAGAGACACCACAGAAAAGTAACGGGTGAAAGATAATCTCCCGACTTCACCGCATAGGCTCTGCGTAGCGCACAGTATCTGGTGAGACAATACTATTTGTTAGCGAACCTGCTCCCATCGATCTCCTAGAATCCCAATGGAAGAAAATCTGGGAGCTTTGGAAGCCAGTGCTTTGACGACAGCTTTGCAATGATGCAACAAGAATTTTCGACCTCCTTCACGTACAAAAAAAAATTAGCAATAATTCCTACTCAATTGCATAGCTGGAACCTATTTGAGAATTTCCTTCAACGCCGTCGTATATTACGGTATTCATATTGTAAGGCAACCACATGCCAGACGTTGAAGCTTACCGAGAGACTGTCTCACCATTTCGTAGTTAATATTTGGGGTCGCAGATAGTTCTCATGTAGTTACTATTAGCTTTACTATAATTATATCATCAACGCTGCGCGAAAACTAAGGCACGTGATACTCGGGCCGAGGATTTTCCGCATGCAGTAAATGGATTTCCTTAGGCTCGTCTGCCGTTTCGTTGCCATAAATGAGAGTGGGCTGTGTCGAGAAGCTGAGTCTATTAACTATTACTTGCACGCCCTTACAAGAATCGGAGCACCAGTATCGGAGTCTAGAGTCCATAGTGCTGTCCCACTCTCAGAAAGTATATCCAAATTATTTTCAGGTAAATTTAAGAGTAAACATATTTTACGAATAAAGTCCTCTTTTTATACAAAGTCTTACGCTTGAAAGGCAATCATTGTAGAACTCTGTATAAAGATTTTCTGAATAGACCCGTGTACCAGCCACGCTTCATCTAGAAATCGTGAAAAATTGATATATCCTTTTTTGTCTGATTTCCTTCAAACCCAAAGGCCGTTGAAGACCCTTGATATACGTCCATGTTCATAGAACCTTTCTTTCCACGTCCCAGTTACCCCAAAACGAGTTCGCGTTCCTTTCCTGGAATGCAACTTCGCTTTCTACATATTATGCCATAGAAAAATGTTCCTTCTTCATGAATTTAACACCTAAAACTTTATGACTTCCAGGTGTTTGCACAAACGCAACAGCGCCTTCGGTATCCTCCATCAATCGAATATTGCGCAATCGTGCAGCCGAACGTGCAGCAGCCGAATTTGCGCGCGCTACCAGCTATGTTTATATGCATCCTACACATCCCGGTTTCCCCACATGGCCAGCGGCGTTGCCACCACCACCACCACATCATCTCTGGGGAGCGCCAGGTGCGCCCACAAATGCTGGCAGTATGCCGCATAGCCTAACACCGCACGGAAGTTTAACACCAACGAGCTCAGGTATTTCGTTACCAGCAATATCACCGAGTTCGGGAAGTCATGAGACTTTGGGTTCGCCAGATGCGAGTCGAATGATAGGTGAGTGGTAGTTAATATATAGAACTCTTTTGATTAGCTTCAAAGCTGCGTAGATTTTCAATACTTACGTACTAATCTTGTCTTTTTTGCAGACATTGAGGGTGAGGACACCGACTCAGATGATAGCGATCAGCCGAAATTTCGCAGAAATCGCACTACTTTCAGCTCCGAACAATTGGATGAATTGGAAAAGGAGTTCGAAAAATCACATTATCCATGCGTGAGCACAAGGGAAAAATTAGCAGCGCGCACTACGCTGAGTGAGGCGAGAGTACAGGTGGGCTGAGCTAGGAACTAATACAGCTATTTACATACATACATACTTACATATACTTAGTTCTAAGGACGCTAGCTCAAGCGTAATCTGTTGTCAATTTTGGCTGAAGAAATACTAAGATTTTGGTTAGAGTTGTTCTTGTAGTTCAGTTTTTCGTTCAATTTTATTGATTCAATGATCATTCTAAGTAATATTTTTACTTCCATTATTTCTATCCACCTCTAAAAGACGGAAGATTAAATCCACTTGTCGGTATAAATGTTTTGTGCCGTTTTTAAATGACCAAAAATTTATGTCCAGTTTTTAAATTATCAAAAATTATGACAGCTTTTAAATTGTTCAAAAAAATAAATATGTCCAGTTTTAGATGACCACAAATATTTGCCCGATTTTTAACTACCAAAACTGTAAAAGTTTTTACATAACCAAATGTCCAGTTCTGTCCAGTTTTTAGGTGACCATAAATTTATGTTAAAATTTTTATATTGGCAAAAACTAATGCTCATTTTTTAAACTGCTAAAACCGTATGTAAAGTTTTCAATTTACCAAAAATGTATGTCAATTCTGTAGCGAACAATATTTTTAAATTGTTAAAAATTTATGTAAAAGTTTTAAATGACTTTTGCCACTTTGTCCAGTTTTTATATGACTTAAGGCTTTTGTCCAGTTTTTAGGTGACCATATATTTATGTCCATTTTTTACACGGCCAAAAATTATACTAGCCCTCAAATTACCAGAATTTTATATATTTAGTATTTTATGACAAAATATGATGGCCCGTTTTTTAAATTACAAAATATTACGTCCAGTTTAACATAAAAAAAGTTATGTCCATTTTTTAGGTGACCATAAATTTATGTCCAGTTTTTAAATGTATGACATTTTTAATTTGCCAAAAATGTGTGTATGTAGATATATTTCCAAAAGCATTGCCAGTTTTGCAATGACCTAAAATTAATGTCATATTTTTAATAACTAGTTTTTCATGTCCAGTTTTTTAATTGCCAAAAATATATCTTCCGCTTCTAAATTAACAAAAATGTTTCCCCATTTCCCCCAAAACTGTATGTCCAGTTTTTTAGGTTACTAAAAGTTTATGACTAGAGTTTAGATTTGCCTCATTTTAACCAAAAATTTATGTGCATCTTTTAAACTTCGAGTTTTTAAGTGACCAAAAGTTTATGCCCAGAATTTTGATGACCAAAAAATTTGGTCCCATTTTGCCCAAAAATTTATGTCTAAACCTTTTGTTACTAAAAATAAATGTCCCGTTTCTTTCATTTACACATAAATTATCTATGCTCGCTCGCCCATTTCTCAAATCACCTTCATATCCCCGTTTTAACCCACTTCCCGCTTTGAGCGTGATAATCCTCTTCTACCCACCGAGTGTTAAATATGTCCTAGACCATTTTACCAACTAACAAATTGTATTCTTCGTATTGATCAAAATTAGGTTTGGTTTTCCAACAGACGAGCGAAATGGCGTCGGCATCAACGGGTGACTCAGCTGAAGCAGCGAAGTTCCAGTTCACCGCAGGCCACCAGTGCGACGATGCAGCAACGATCACTCTCACCAGCGGACAAATACGATGCTGCGACGACGGCGGCGATGGCAAGATATTGCTACAACGACAACAACGGCAAATCAAATATACCGAGCGCTTATTACCCAACACTGAGCGCGCTTCCGATGGGCCTCGCCAATCACCAGCATTCACCACAAACTCTGGATTACACACACAAAGCAGCGAACGCTATCATCCCTACAGCAAGCCAACAAGGCCGAGTAGGCGATCAAGCAACGGCACAGACACCCGGCGCAACAACACAGTGTCCACCACTACCGCTGTACGCCCACAACTCGGCGTTGCTGAACATGAATACTTATCTAACGACGGAAGCAAAAGCTCCATTACCTCTGCTTCCTCACCACACCGGCACCAACAACACACCGGTGGCATTTCCATCGCACACAGCATCAGTTCCATTATTAATGGGCGGTGAGCATAGCGCTTTTCGCTCAATGGTGGTGAATCCAACGCTGTCAGAGGCAATGCTTGCGCTCAACTTCACCCGACAATATGTCAACGCAACGCAGCAATCGAAGTTACTGGTTGCCAGCAGTGGCAATGGGGGAGGAGGCGATTCGCCAACATCGCGTTCAACAACACCATCGGCGGCGACGACGCACTCGACGCACTCGCGGCAGTCAGAGGGGGAGGACATCAATGTTGTGCTGGATGTGGAAACGAAAGGGGAGCGGCAATATAGAGACGTTGCGACAAAGGATGCAGAGGGAATGTAGAAATTAGGCGAGTTAAGGTGAGCGCAAGCGCGAAGCCACAAACGGCGCAGGATGCACAAGGCTGACTAATGCAATTCTACCCAAATAAAGAGAAGTAATGCGGAATGTATTTTATGGATTGTAATTCTGGATTTTATGCGTAATTATTTAGTAACTAATTTTATGTAGACACTATTTGTTTAAATTTAAAAATTTAATTATTAGCAAACTGTAATCAATGCACTATCGATATATAATGTACGATTATTATACATATGTTTAATATTCAGTGTTGATTTCCTTATTTAAACAATAATTAACTTAGTGCAATTAACGGTAATTTGAAATCGAACCAACTAAACTCCGCAATATAGTTTAAAAACCGAAAATACTCAATTGGCATTTTATTTTGATTTGAAAGAGGATAATAAAATAATCTTAAATATGGTAGGTAAATAGTTTTATCGATTTCAGAACTGTCAAAAGGGTTTTTATCTATATAAAAATAATAGACTCTAAATGTTTGCTATGTGCCCCCACTTTAGAAGCCGCAAGTTATATAATCACACAATATGGAACCGCAAGTGCTGTGGCCAATTGGGTTTTGGAACTAAAGATCGTCTATTCGAGGAATTGATAGGTCGCGACCTACCCCAGTGACTTCAAATTTGAGATAAAATCGTTACGAAATCGGCACCGCAAGTCTGAACAAAATGGTTTCTCCACTTTTATCCCAGGTACGTAAGTTGGTAAACAAACGAGCCACAGAGGGATCACAGAACGGGTGGTGGTATTTATGTACCCATCACTGGCATTAAACTCCTTAGTACTAAGAGCAGAGTTTTTTTTACAAATCGAGGAGTAAGTGAATTTGACCTTCATCAGTATAAACCTCGAAAATAAAACGAGTGAAGGGCGTATTTAAAGGTATATTTTAAGACAACCAAATGGCCAGTCGGACCCTTTCCAAAAAGATGGTCACTTTTAAGCTTGGCAGAAAGTGTTTTAACTTCTTTCAACGGGTCTGGTAGCCAGTTATTACGAATATAACATCATTAAAATGACGTAGCGGAATTTGGAGAGAAATGAAGTTGGTGTAACGGATGCAATGAGAGTAAAAAACTTGTGGAGTTCTGCACTTAGATCCTGCCGAGAGGAGACTCTGAACGCTCTACTCAAATTAGTGCCAATAGATCTTTTATCGATAATATACATATGTAGCTGCTATCAAGACAATGAGATTGAGCCAAACCTGCTTTTAAAACGGATCGAATGAAATGGGTAGTGATTATTTTTATTTAACGACTCAATATGGGATTCTCCTCTCGCTTACCAGATTAGGCAAGTATTTTCCCGTTTGTGATCAATTGAAAATTCTCTACCTTAACCCTGAACGGGTAATGTTCGTCGTTTCGATGAACACCGTTGCTCTTTTTCCATTTTTCTCGCCATTGGACTGAAGAGCGAATTGCTCTAAAATATACAAAAAAGCTTAAATAAAAAGTATCCTCTGTGTTTTCTTTCTTGTTAAGGTTCATCATTATTATTTTTATTTTCATACAAAAAATGGAAGATAAAAAGGACTTCGTCAATTCGACGGAGGTTACCTTTAACGTATGTAAAATAATGTTACCCTTTAAGGGTTAATATGAGTCCCACTGCATAGAGACAAATTAATAAGGCGGTGAAACTGCAAGTGAGTTTCGATTCTATACTAAGCAAATCCGAGTACGCGGGCTCCATTTATGAGAGCCAAAAGCAGAAATGCCGAAATTTAACATTCGAAAACTAGACTCCAGTTGGTCCTATAAGTTGACCAGGAAGATTTAGAATACCCACATCACACTTAAAAAAAAAAGAGTGCTTGCGCGCTGCTGGGCCTGCAACACAACATTGTCAGTCGTATGGGTATGCACGCCTATCGATAAATAGTATAGATATACATAAATAAGTTGACATTACTAGAGAAGTAGTATTCGGCGGCTTTAGCGGCTATGATTTTTTTTAATAAAAATCATAGTTTAACTATCAAAACTGGCTTTCTATTTTTCCGATCAAATTTAACCGTTATATAATAATTGTTATTTTTTTAATATAGAATATTCGTTATTTTTGGATTTTAATTTTTTCGATACATTGTTGATCATTATTTTTTATTCTTTCAGTCTTATTATAACCGTTATTTTCAGATTTAACTTTTTTGGATAATAAAAGATTTAAATCTGTAAAAAAAAATGCAGTCTCCATTATGGCGGTTAAAAATTATCGAAAAACTTAAAAATAACTATTACACAAAATCTAACGTTTTTTTCTTGATAGAAAAAATAAAACTCAGAAAAATTATGATTTTGCAATGACCTAAAAAAATATTTGTTATTTCACGGTTATTTTGAGTTCGCAGTATTATTGACAACTGAACCATTAAGGATTGCGATAAATAGGCATACCGGAAAAAGTCGATAAAAAGCTATTTCGATAACGATATACATATATAGGTAAAAATATAGTTATCGACAATAATGTCGACTAATATTTGTATTTGACATAATGTCAATAAAGCTAGATAAATATATCGATAAAAAATCTATAAAAATATCGTTAGTTTAAATCAGTTTTTTTAATAACCTCGTTTTTATAAAACTACTATTTTTCTTATGAATTCATGCCACAGCAATCGATCTAACTGAGTAGAGATTAATACAATTAGATACTTACATACAAACTTTCACATGAGGCACATATTTATGTATTAACATTAGGGTGCATCACTCTCCAAACAAAAAAATGGTACTTACGGGACGAAATCATAAAATGTATTATATTTTAAGACTTCCAGGAAAATATTCAGGAAAAATAGCAAGATCAGGTAAAAAAAGTTAAAAAAAATCTAAGATGATAGAGGAGAGTAAGCTTAAAAGTTCTGCAAAAAAAAATTTAAAAACTTTATCAATTTTCAAACCAGTCCAGCTAACGCAAATCTAAACACCTCTCCGAAATATTTTTGGCGGTATTCGACCATATTTGTATTGTAATAAAAATATTTATAGAGTATATTTTATAGTTTCGGTGAAAAACCCGCATTTTTGTTGTTGAGGCACCCTAATGTACATATGTTATTATAAAGAAAATTCTTGTTTACATATCAGAGATTAGTTCCAACAATCATTAAAAACATGAAACTACGTGTACAACAAAGACTAGTATTAACGCCATTAGGCACAGAAAATGAACATTCGATGAAAGGTAAGCTTTTTCATTGTCAAAAAAGAAGGCGGTTTAGAAATTAATTGAAAAGAAAAAATCTCTGCCTAGCAGCCACCAAAATGCTCGTCATCAAGAGGTCATTAATTCATATAGCAATAGCAAACATCAAAAATCGATCGCTGGAATTTTGACATATCTTGATTGCTGACGCTTTTCAATCAACAAAAGATCAATAGGTAGTCAGGTGTGTGCTGCTATTTTCTTTCTACTCAAAATCCTTTCTATTCGTATGGGTAGTAATTATAAATTTACATGTGTTATTCAATTCACATTACGTGTGAACCACTGAAATGTTTATAGATAGACAAATTGGTTTGCCGATTCGTTGTTATTGTTTTTAGCGAGTAGATATAAAGCGCCAACTGTACAAAATATTCAATCCAGCCGTGTATGTATGTAGGTGAACAAATTTTGGAAATTTTTAAAACCCTTTTGTGTTAACTACTGCACACACTATTAAATAAAGCAATGAAAGCCGTGACGTACAATACAAAAAGAATAGTAAGTAGCAGCAGCAGTGGCAGAGCGTTAAAAGAAAAATCAAAAGTCAATCAGTCAGTCTTCTTCACTACTGCCCAAAAGCCCAACTTGCTGTCCGCCTGCCTGCTTAAATGGCGCTCAAAATTAATAATTTGAATACTTTTATGAAAACAATGAATACTCAAATACACACATTCACTCACGTACTCATTCATTGACTCGCTCATTATGCCATTATAACGTGTAATTGGACAAGCTATGCACTTGGTTGCCGTTCGTTCACATCGGGAATAGATTATTCAAGTGGACAATTTGACAAGCGTAAAATTAAAACTTTCAATGAGGGGCCTATCAATCCCAAATTTAATTATTGCATGTGTAGAGGTATGTATGTATGTATGTATGTATGTATGTATGTATGTCTGTACACGCAGTGCCGGATTTAGCATCTACGGGCCCATAGGCTCTTTGTGTGGTGGGGGTACTAAGACAAACGGCGGCCATGGGCTTTCTCCAGATTTTAGTTGTTTTAAGTTGCAAACATAACCTAACCTTACAGGTAAAAATTACGATAAGGTTTTTCTATAAAATCTAAAAATACATCAATTACAAATTTTAAACCACGTTATACTTTTTTGGTTTTGTTCTTTAATTCTTCATATATGTACAGTTCCGAAAGAAAATATTGGCACAGAGAATTTTTCACAGTGTATGCAAAGTTTTTTATTCTAATTGAATAAACAATATTTTTGAGTTTCAACATCATAAGTTTCATAATATGTATGACATTTAGTTTACTTTTATTTATAAAACAACACGGACTTCGTCGAATCGACGATCATTAGTATATATATATTTTTTAATGTCATCTAATTTTACTAAATACTTTAATTTGTTTTACGTTCTTTTCATTTTATATTACATTTTTCGGTAGAAACGAAAACGCCATTAGATCAAGACTGTCGAAACTCCGACACGCAGAAGTCGGTGCTATCAACCTGCCCCTATGGTTGCACCGGTGGCGCGTGTATTCCGTTTCCCTGTAGCCGACTCGACGAAACGACGCATTTTCTTTTGCTTACTTAACTAAATCAGCAATTTAGTACTTATATTGCGTTGTACTATAATGTGAATGCCCTTTGATTAGGGTAGAAAACCAACTAAACATGTCTTTAATTGACTCGCCTTGAGTGCCTTTTACGTTTCTAAAAAATTGTAAATATGTATATAATTTTTCACTTTTTTAATTTTTCATGTGACGCGGGCCCCCTTGTGGTGCGGACCCCTAGGCTGGCGCCTATGTAGCCTGTGCTTAAATACGGCCCTGTGTATACGTCTTAAGAAAAGATAAATAAAATGAAATTATTTTTGTACGCTGAAAATGCAAAATTGATTCATAGTGTTGAATTGCGTGCAGCGCAAGAAGCAGATAAAGGAAGCTGAATGGCCGAAAAAGCCACAATTGGACGTAAATCGACAACGAAATCGACTGGGTATTTATTTTATCGGTGAACAGATGCTACAACAAAATTGTTTAATGTCTTGTATTTTTTTTTTGTTCTCCCAGTTTCAGTAGTTTTAATGCTTTGTCACGTCATTGCATTACGAAGACACTTGTGTACCTTTTCAGAAAATTGG